TTCCTCTAACTCTATAATCATTCACAATTTTTTTTGCAACCAAAGCCACATCTAAAATCTATCTACCCCTCACAAAAGCCCCTTGAGAAGAAGAAATAGTTTCATGTGGACTATTGAGTTTGATGGAAAATCTTTTTCCTATTAGAATTAGGGTTTTTTTAGAATATAGGGAGGTGCAATCGAGAGGAGCGAATGAGGTTTTTTGGAGGTAGTGCCAAAAAAGGATTGTGGTCGAGAGATTAAAGATGAAGTAAATAGGGTTGATGGGTTACGTGTCATGAAGGGAGGAAGTGGTGTACAGAAGTTAGATGTTNGAGAGATTAAAGATGAAGTAAATAGGGTTGATGGGTTACGTGTCATGAAGGGAGGAAGTGGTGTACAGAAGTTAGATGTTATCAAAGGGATTCAAAAGGAAATTTCAATTAACAATAAGAATGCTTTAATTGAGGTGTTAAATTACAGAGGAGGAATATGCTATTTACCGAGAAAAAAAAGACAAAGGATGTTTAAATGCTAATTTGAATTTTAAATCTACTTTGAAGAAGGCTTTGCAACAGGTAAATAAAACCAATCTAGAGCTATACTCAACCTTGAAGCCCAAGAGGTTAGGCCTAGTCAAAAATGGGCTGAGGTCTTCATTCACTCTAAATCCAATAGGTGCTTCTGATGGGCTTAAAAGGTTGGTTCTAGTTATTGTTGAAGAGGTTGACAAAGTGGGCTGGGGGTCTAAAATGGCCCAATGTATTCGCCTAAAATATGGCTCTTCTTAGGCGACATCTTCTAAGACTATTCAAGGCTCCCTTGATCAGTGTTATCAGAATTAGACCGGACCAGCTGATCCAACCGGTAAATTGGTGAACTGGACCTTAAGCTAGTCCGGTTCAAAGATTGGACTGCTTAAGAAATTAAACTGCTAAAAACCCAGTTGAACCGGACAGGTTTTTACAAAATCGGTGTAAACCAAACGGTTCAACCATCCAAGCAAGTCGACTTTGCTTTAGAATAAAACATTTAAACTTATTCCTAGTTGTCATCACATTATGAAGCCAATGCCATAGGATAACAGTTCTTCCATGTTTTGGTTCTCCTTTTTATAGAAGCACAGTGATGCTTCTTTGCAATTGATTTCCGATGTGGGATACATTGTTAGCACTTACAGTGTATTGTTAGCCTCAGCCATATTCTTTTTTTTTTTTTAATCTTTTTTTGTCATCATAATACTACTATTTATGTTAATTGCAATTCCTATTTGTGGATCGTTGATATTATATTAGATTTTATAAATTATATAAGAAAATAGGTGTTTTGTGATATTTTTTTTTGTATTCTTATTTGATCTACCGTTGCATAAAAATGTTATTTTTGTACCTATTCAATTTTTTTGTATATTCATCATTATTAGTTATATATTTTTTTATTATGTGACCGGTTGATCCAACAATTGAACCAATAAACCATTGACCCTGTCCCTCTTCCAGTTCAATGTCTTGTCCAATTCTGATAACATTGTCCTTGATTCAGTGAGGTGAGATGACGATGTCGATGGCCACAAGCAAAATTCTACCATGGGTTTTGAGTCGAATGAATTGAAGAAAGAGTGGAGATGGATTCAGATTTAGCTGTGAGATTTGGGGATGATGTGGATGAGCTTTTTAGAGAAGACATTGGCAATGACATTATGGGGTGGCCAAAGATGAATAAAGGAGAATGGCTTTGGGTATGGATGATGGCGATTTTGATTTTCAAGTTGCAGCAATGGAATTGGAGGATAGTGAGAAGGATGGTGATGGCTCTAACTTGTTGCCTCTACAAGGTGATATGGATTGTGATACATAAGTAATTTCGAATGGGATTCTGGGGGATGCTGCTCGACTTTTCAATTGGAGGGACAACTCTAGAGAATACTTTAAAGTATATCATAAGGTAAGTAGGGTTGGTGAGCTTGATTCTCATCCTTTTTTTTTTTTTGCCCTTTGGAGCCATTTTCTACTCCTTCCTCCTTTTCGGCTTTGGGTAATTCTTTTTTTTTTTTTTTTAGTTTTTTTTTTTGGGGGGGGACCTTTTTTCTTTTGGTTTTACTGCTTTTGGGCTTCCTACTTTTTTCTTCTTCTTGTCCTTCTATTATCTCGTATTTGTATGGTCTTGTTTAGGGAAAGGGAAACATGTTTAAGGAGGAAGTGTTGAGAAATAGCGTGGTTAGAGTTCAAGGGAAAAATTTGGGGAAGTGGGCTTTAAGTAACGGAAAAAATGGTGCTTTTGGTGAAAGGTCCAATAAGTTTGACGTTTTAGGTACAGAGTCGGTTATTGTTGAGCAATTTGGCTCTACAGATTCTATGATTGTGACAAAATTTGTTTCGTTAGATGTTCCAGGCTTACAACTGTTGTATGTTGTGACCATTATTTGAGTACTGATAGAAGGAATAAGACAATGAACTTTGGCATGGGGTTTTCTGAAGGTGTTCCGACTTGGGCTCTTGTGTGTCATGGTGGAATGGGGGATAATGGAGAGTCAAGGATAAGATAGGGCAATAGTGATTGTTTTGTATCTGATGAAGAAATGTGGGTGGTGTTGAAATTTTTTTTGCAAAAACTAGATTTGTCATTAGTTCCGTCTAAAAAGGGAATGGTAAGTTAAGAAAAAGGCCGGAGTGTGAGAAAAATAAGGGGAATAGAGAGTTGGAGAATTTACAATCAAGGATTAATTATGAGGGATGAAAAACTAGTAAGAGTTGGGAGGGTGTTTTAGTCTGTTATGAAGATTGTTAGATGGAATGTTAAAGGTTAGGGTCGTGGGGGAAAAGAGAGGAAATTAAGGATTTTCTTAGTGTTGGGCTTGACATTGTTATATTGCAAGAGACTAAGTTGGAAGTCATTGATTGATCGAAGGGTTATCAAGAATGTCTGGGGATATAGGTTAATTGGGTTTCTCTTCCATCTATTTGTAAATTGGGAAGGATTGTTATTATTTGGGATGAGAGCTGTGTTTCTATAGAATTGTCGATTGAAGGAGAATTTACAATTTCAGTGAGATTTAGAAATAAGAAAGGTGTAGATTGGTGGCTTACGGGGGTGTGTGGTTCAAATAAACATCGATTTAGAGAGAATTTTTGGATAGAGTTGGGGGGTTGTTTGGGGTGTGTACTCCTAGTTGGTGCATTTTTTTTTTTTTTTTTGGGGGGGTGGGATTTTAATGTTATTAGACTCTCAGGTGAAAAGTTAAATGGGGGTAGAGCTAAGAAGGACGGATATGGATATGGATACAAGATACGGGTATAATACAATATGGATATGGCGATGCGACAAAATTCCAAAAAATAAGATATGGGAACAGTCAATGTACGTCTATTAAAAATATATATCTTATATTTGTACTATTATGTAATGACTTGATAGTTATAATTTTTCTCAATTCTTTAACAATAATAAACAAAATTAACAATTTTTTATTTTCAAAAAGCCACCTAGTGTCTCACTATAGCACATTATCAAAGTGAACGTGATTAATTAAAGAAATAAGAACCAACATTTAACTAGATTGTTTGCTTAGAAGTGCTTGTTGTTAAGATTATAGTGTAATCAGCTCATTTATACTCTTTGGACATGTGATACTGAATGATACTTGGAAAACATCAATGTGTCTTCAAAGTTATATGGATTCTTGTAGATGTATTGCATTGTATGTGAAATCGAAAGGAAAGGTAAAGATATGTTTAATGTGTATTCGATACGTATTCTCGAGTATTTAACGGGTATCGTATTTGATATGGATACGTCAACCTTAATAAAGTATCTATGTTTCATATGGGTAGAGTGACTAAAAGAGTATTGAGGGATTTTTGGGAATTTTATTAGGGCAACTGAACTTCGGGACTCACCATTAAGCAATGGTGCATTTATTTGGTCTAATTTTAGATGTACGGTTGTGTGGAAGAGGTTAGATATATATATATTTTTTTTTTCGTTGGATGGAAGGATTGTTTTCCGAGAGTTAGGTAGGAGGCTTTGACGAGAGTTATTTCGTATTACTTAGATCGTGTAGGTTTGAAAATATGTGGGTGGAACAAGTTGACTTTAAAAAGAGGTTTAGGGAGTGGTGGACTGAAGGTGAGGTTGTGAGATGAGAAGGTTATAAGTTTATGAAGAAACTTGATTATGTTGAGCAGAAATATTGAAAATATTTGGGGATGTTGGTCATTGAGAAGAAATTGAGAGTATTGATAGGATTGAGGAAGAAGGTGGGTTGAATGAGGGTTTAGAATAGAAAGGAGGGATCTTAGGAATAAATTTGAGGAGTTAGTGCATAAAGAGGAAATTAGTCAAAGAAAAAAGTCAAAATCAAATGGGTGGAAAAGGGTGATAATAATTTAAAAAAATTTCACAATGTTGCTAACAATAATAGGACTAGAAAAGTCATTGATAAGTTGGAACTTGAGGGTGGTCTGATTGTTGATGATGAGAATTAATTGAGTGAGATGGTCCAATTCTTTGAAAAGCTTTATAATGCCAAAGAGAGGATGAGACCTACTTTGGTGGGGTTGGATTGGGGTCCTATTGGTGGGAATGTTGCTTTGTGGTTGAAAATGCCATTCAAGGAGGAGGAAGTTAAAAGGGCCATTTTAAAATGAGTTAAAGACAAAGTTCCTAGACCGGATGGTTTCACTATGACAAATTTCCAAGTCGGATGGGATATTGTGAAGGATGACTTAATGAGTGTGTTTGGGGAATTTTTTCATAATGGAGGGGTGAATACAGTCATAAATGCTACTTTTATTTGTCTTATCCCTAAAAAAGTAAACTCTTTGAGATTGAAGGATTTTTGGCCAATTAGTTTGGTTACTAGTTTGTATAAAATCATTTCTAAAGTTCTTTCAATCAAGCTAAGGGAGCATTTATTTGCATTCCATCTTTTCTGTATTCCTTTATGGATATGCTCAATCGTTTCTGTCTGAAATCCTTTTTTGTATGACATTTTATTTCTTATCTTCCCTGTGATCTGATAGATGTCTCGAAGGTATGATAGTCGTACTACGATATTCTCCCCAGAAGGTCGCCTCTATCAGGTTGAGTATGCAATGGAAGCCATTGGAAATGCAGGATCTGCAATAGGAATATTGGCAAAAGATGGGGTTGTCTTGGTTGGTGAAAAGAAAGTCACTTCCAAGCTCCTTCAAACCTCTTCATCTACTGAGAAGATGTACAAGATTGATGACCATGTAGCATGTGCTGTAGCTGGAATAATGTCTGATGCCAACATTCTGATCAACGCAGCCAGGCTTCAAGCTCAGCGCTACACTTTTGCTTACCAGGAACCAATGCCTGTTGAACAGCTAGTTCAGTCTCTATGTGACACCAAGCAGGGCTACACACAGTTTGGTGGGCTCCGCCCGTTTGGAGTGTCATTTCTCTTTGCTGGTTGGGATAAGAATTTTGGCTTCCAGCTTTATATGAGTGACCCCAGTGGCAATTATGGTGGTTGGAAGGCTGCAGCAATTGGAGCAAATAACCAGGCGGCACAGTCAATGCTTAAGCAGGATTATAAAGACGATATCACTAGGGAAGAAGCTGTGCAGCTAGTCCTGAAGGTTCTCAGTAAGACGATGGACAGCACTAGTCTTACTTCTGAGAAGCTTGAACTGGCAGAGGTATTCCTTTCTTCTGGGAAAGTAAAGTACCAGATATGCTCGTCTGAGTCCCTGAGTCAATTGCTATTGAAGTTTGGATTGACCCAACCTCCTGCTGAGTCCTCTTAATTTACTCCATTATATTTGGACCAAGTTTTGGGACTAATTTGGCTTGGCTGTACTAGAAGATACTATATATTTGTGTGATTTTGGAAATCACATAATGGGCTCTTGGTACATTTACTTTTTATGTAAAATGACATATTTTTGAATAACGATTGGCCTGCAGTGCCCATGATTTAAAACAAATAGGAAATTTGCGGAGTTAATGAGCTGACTTGAATGATCACCTGATGGCAGTAGGGAAGTTTCACATTGGCACTTCCAATGCTTTCCTCAAGTTCTGTATCTTTCATTTATAAAATCTTATGCAGCTTTTAGAACTAAATGTGCATAAAGACGTGACACTGCCTGGCAGGGTGGCCCCTGACAATTTGAGGCCTAATGAGAAAATACTAAATGAGGTTTTTTTGTTTTTTTTAATATTTGATGATGCATAAAATGTAGATTTATCCACCATTTGTCAAGTACTTAATGCATTAATAAATGAGGAGTCAACAAAAACAAAACACAATTTAAGTGGTTCGGTTAAGATGATCTATTCTAATGTGAAGGGTTATGATGTTTTGAGTGTTTTATTATTTCAAGGAGTGTAGGGTGCTTAAGTATGAGTGATAGATGTCATGCCCTCTTGTATAGGTGGGACTTACAATTTATAAATGCGTCATGATAAATGTGTCTTACTCGTATCAGCTGAGATGGTTTGGAAGAGATGACATCCTTCCCATAACAAGTGAGATAATCTTGTGGAGGTGGTGATGTGTGCGTCTTAAGGAGAACTCTTCGTTTGTCAGTTATGGACTGACTCTCTCGCCATGAAGAGGCTGATCTGATCCTCTCACAAGATGGTGTGGTTGGCCTAAATTCCTTCTTCTTGTAGTGGGCCTGACCAGCATTCCAAAACAGAGCCTCTGAGTTGGGCCTATGAGCTAAGCATTGTCTGTCATTTTTGGCTTATCTTATAATTTTGAGCCAGGTTTGGATTGGGCCCATTGATATTAATTTTTTTAAAAAATAATTTATTTTTAATATTAATTTTTAAAAAAAATTAATTTATTTTTTAATTTATTGTGTGAGAAAGATAGAAGAATGTACTAGTATTGCCGAGAAAAAACGTTTTAACTTTTGTTTTTGATTTTTAGCAGAGAGTTTAATTTTAACTTTTTTTAATTATTTTTACACGGAGAGAGAGAGAGAGTGGGTAGGGGTAAAGATGAAATAACTTTTGAATACTTTTTATTTTTCAACTTATGATTTTTAGGTTTCTAATGTTATGAATTGGATCATGAATACAAATTATTACAATAAAAGTTTTGACTTGTACTTAATTTTTTGGGGTGTTTTTTTAGAGTTTAAAATTTAAAGGATTTAAATTTTTTCTAGGTTAGTAATGTACTTAAAATTATAAGGTCTTTAAAAAATTTAGAGATTAAAGCCAAAACTTTTTTTTTAATGCACACTGGTTGGGGGAAACTCTGAAAATATTTTTTCTGGAACCCAAAAAAGTGAGCAGCTTCGTTAGGTTTTTGAAAATATATGCAAAACCCACGTAATTCACATTTCCTTCAACCCTCTGCAACTAAAATTACAACTCTAACACTTCTTGGATGAATAAAGGAGGACTAATCACACTAGATTCAAACCACCAAAATTCAAATTATTATCTCTACCAACTGAAACAACAATAAGGCATTAAAATTGCCACCTTTAACCAACTTCTTCCATTCACAATCTGCAAAGATACAAAAAAAAAAACTTAAAATTAAAAAAAACAATTCCACAATATCATAAATAAATTCAATAAAATTTTACCGCTGATGTTTTCAACATCCGAAAAATCAAAGGAATGGCTTACAAAGGTCGAGGTAGCTTGTGTTGTGAGCCTCCAACAATATCGAGAGAACTATAAACACTACACCCAAAGACACCCCTCCAACATTTGATAGTAGTACTAGTGTATATGTAGTTCAAATAGTTGAATTACTTCCAAAATTTAATACCTTTAATACTTGAATCACTGTCAAACAGCATTGATAAATCTACCAGTACCATAAATCCAACAAACAAACACAATCATCAAAGTGAGTGTGTTTTCAAGTACAAGCTCAAAGAACTACGACAATCTTTCATTAAGGGTTTGTTTGTTTAACAGAAAAATAGTAAAAAATGCAAGAAGGAAATTTTTTTTAGAATTTTAATCTGTTTGGTTAACATGAAAAGGAAAATGATAGAAAAAATAAATTTCTTTCATGCTTGAATTTTCTCACAAATAACCAAATTTTTTTTCTTGTAAAAAACACAAAAAAAAATACAAGAAAGTTGTGATCTATAGTTAACTTTTCATTTTATCCTTATTTTTCTTAAAATATTTTATTAGTTATTAATTTTAAAATTTTTTTGTATGAATTTGATTAATCATATAATTTGACCCAAAGACCTTTGTGTTGGTGATTGTCTTAGAATCAGGTTTTGAGTCACTTTTTTTTTTTTTTTTTAAATGTAACTTTCAATTGTAATTACATTTTTTTTTCTTTTTTTGACCAATTTAATATAATTAAGGGTAATTTAGATAATTATAATTTTTTTTTTATAACTTTATTTTCTTTCAAACAATAAAATAAATTTTTTAAAAATTTTTCTGTAAATTTTTAATTCTAACCAAATACATGCACGAAAATATATTTTCTACTATTTTTTTTTTCTTTCACTTCATTTTCTATCATTTTTACTTTCCATTATTCTTTTCTTCTTAACCAAACGGACCTAACTCATTTTTCAGTCAATGCTTCAATAAACTATTTCACATCCAACAATGACCATTGTCTCAATCCAAGCCCTTTCCTATCTTCAGGAATCCCTAAAACAATGAATTGTCTAATCTCACTTTGTTTTTGTTTTTTCACAAATATTATAGGACTCTGCTGTTATAATAGACACTAAAGAGACTATTAAATGATTGAAAATTAAATCATAGTCTGAAACTTTGTAATTGCTCATGTCTAAAGACACTACTTAAACGGATTAAAAATTGAACAATTAATAACTGATAGCATTTAAAGGTTAGTTTTATGCCAAGAAGAGAAGTCAATTTTCAATCCCAGCCCACAAAACAGAAGCAAATATTAATTCTTATAACCCATGAACCAAGCTAGTTTATATTGACTATTTCTCATTCTTAAGGAATTCTCCAGCGTGAGACTCCTATTTACTCCCCGAGGCTTAGCGCATGCACGGCCAAGTGATGATATGAATTAGTCCATATAAACTATAGAATCTTGTTAACAACATTTAGCAATACCATCCTACCATTCCAACAAAATTTAAATTGTGTGTTAAAGAAGCATCTAACAATTCGAAAAAAAAATAATAATAATGGAAATGGGTCTGCCGGAGAAGTGAAAGGACTATCCACTCTAGGCATAATGTAAAGTCGAATTTTTGAAAAGTCGCAAACAGTCCACCATTTCCAGTGAACACCAAAACACAAAGAAACAAAAAACAAAAAACTCTAGAGGCTGTTTGCTAATGTTTTTTTTTTTTTTTTTTGTGTTTTTAAAAAAATAAAAAATAAAGATAATTTTTGTCTCTGTTTTGTGGTAAAAACAACAAACATGTTTGAGAGTCATTTGTGTTTATCAAATTAAGAGAATAAAAAAAAAAAAATGTTTGGTAACTACTTCAGGTTATATCATAAATATTAGGTTTATAATATCTTACTCAACAAATTACAAATCAAGAAATTCCTTATCCCAACACATCCACTAATTCATCAAAGAACACTAAATGCAAGATAATTGGATTACATAAGTCATTAATCACAGTCATACATTATATTGTTCAACATACAACCAAATACACACATTAATAAGTCATATTACTTAACTAAAATCCCAATAATTAGTACAAATGCCACGAATAGTAATGTATAAATGAAGATCAAATTAAAACCACAAGAAGTAAGAATGAAAATAGTGATTCATTTCTTCTCGATCCATCCGGACTGGGCTTGGGGAATCACATAATGTTCATTTATAATTTGTACTTATAAACCCATATGAAACAATTATCATGATCATGCTATCTAATTACTACTCTTGTAAATATTTTCTAATTACTATTGCCTCACGATTGGACACTTGGGACTAAAATTTTGTTTGAGAAACCCACTGTTATGTAATGTGGGTGGGGCTTGTAGTGTAAATATCGGTCATATACCAAATGGTCTTAAATGGATCGAATAGAAAACTAACCTTGACTCACGGGATCCATAACAATGATTCTTAGTAGAGATATGCAGTAGAAATCCCCACGAGAAGAATACCAAGAATATCCAATACAATCACAAACTTGATTCCGAGTAGATTGCAGATAAGTTTTTCCAGAGAGTGAGATATATTGTAAGCGTGAATAAGAGATGAGGTCTTTCAGGTAATTTATATCCCCCTCACTAGTAACCAACTGTTTCACGTTAAAATAATAAGTAACTGTTCCCTCCCATCAAGGTAACTGTCAGGAAACTGACTATTTGTTAAACATGTTTTCTGATACCTTGGACACCACTTTCACAAGGTAACTACCCACTAACCTAACCAACAAATGTTAGGTAATTTAATTAGGATTTCCTTATCCCAAAAACCCAAGTCTGCACCTTGTTAATTAAGGTCCATATGTGGGTCCCATTAAATAGGTTCTAGCATTCTTCCACTTGGACCGAATTAACAAGGAAGTTAAAAGAAAATAATAATAATAATAATAGTAATACTAATACTAATATATTTTGGAAATAAGCAAATACTTGGGTTCGGTAAAGTTATGCGTGCTCTTTATCAAATTATCCCAACATAAACAAGCATAACTTTATTCTTGATTATTTGAGCCTAGTAATATGAACAATAGCGGATATACATTAATAAATAGCATACATACTTCCATGATCACAATATCACCAAACCCTCATAAGCAAGACTTGAGGCTAATTTTCTTTATAAATGAATATTCAATAAAATCCATTTGTTGGTCAAAATTTTCTGCTAAGAACATATCCATACCACAAAAAATATAATAAGCAAAATAACATAATAATGTGATACAATAAACTTATAGTGTCTCCAAATGTGCACATATACATCAAGCAATAACATTGTTTACTAGACCCATATGATCTACATGATCTTTTTACAATCCTAGAGCTATTGCTTTGGTTATAGGGTCTGCCACTATAAGCACAGTGCTGATGTACTTAACCAACACCTTATTTTCATCACATTTCTCCTTTATGGAAAGATATTTAATATTCATGTGCTTGTTACCATTAG